TGATATGCGTATCACATTAAATCTCAAAGACGCGTCTTGAAGATCTAATGACAAGTATTAAGTATGTTTGCTCACGACTGGAAATAGAACTGGTTCATATTTTTTCATCTGCGGTATCGCATACTGAATGCAAAAGTTCCCATCCTAAACAACTCTCACGAAGTGCTAGTGACTTCATGAATTGGTTTACTTCCAATGTATCTTTTGGTCTGATTATATACATCTGTTAATATGGTTACGCAAATAGTAGTTATTTCGGGCGAAGAATTCTTAATCTGAGAACATCTGTAAATATTTACGATGTACATCTCAGATATAAAGAGTAGAATGCTCATGAAACCCTACACGCATATAGACAGTAAAGTAGCGGTTATTTGAGAGATTTACTCTATTATAAAATAGCATTATTCATGTAATTTTTATGTGACGAAACTTGCACAGGGTTTTACGAAACTGGTCCTACTGTTCTTTTGTATAATAAGATGTATGATTTGAGGGTGGAGTGCCAGAGGCCTGTGATTGTTCTGTACCAGCAAACTTCAGTCTAATCTCTTAAACAATTGTTCAATAACTTAAGCCATTTAAAGATTTAGATACCAACTCTCTCAGCAGTAGATCCTAAAAGTTGATTACTTGACGGAGAAACTTATTTTGCCCCAGGGATGCTGTTGTCTCTTCTCATTTAAATCCCCCTGCTATGTCCACTGAATCATCCTGACCTAGCTGACAGACTATATTTCATGTCAAAAATCTTTTCTTGGAATCTTGCTCAGTGTATTAGAATGACAAGTGACAGTCACGATGTTGCGACCGATAGAGCTTGAATTTTCCAACCAATTAAGGAAAGGCATTTTCATATCCTTTATAAATTACTTAACGTTACACCTCGTTTTCTGTTCAATCATTCTTATTATGAATCTCAACTTGTTTTGTTTTTACTGTTAGGACTTCCAATGAGTTCAGACAACGTTGTTACTTCAGTACTCCCAGATTCATATTCACTAGCTCGAAGACACTTACAGTTGAGTCGAGCAAAGCTCAAAGCCACTAGTCGAGTGTCTGCGTTGCTGGCAGGTTTCGCTATGGTTGCAATCATTGAATTGCAGGTTACTTTAACAGTGACTGTAAATAAGTGGTTTAGGTTGCTGTTGGCGAAAGTAAACCACCTGAAGGATTATTGTTTGCTTTCACGATTCTTTCATGTCTTCTGGTTGTCGTGCATATAATGGCTGTAATGATAAGTACTTGTATTTTGCCACATATTGACTCATACATGGTCCCTCAAGACTGTTATTTGATTGAGGAAGCACCACACAACAGATTAAGAACGTAAGATATCTGTTTTTACAGTTATCAATTTTTTCCTTATAGATTTGTTGAAGTTGCATGGATTTGCAGTACTGTGGTTGGCATCATTTTATTTTTAGCTGTGGTAACTTTAGCATTTTGGGTTAAATTTTGGTCTGTGAGTAGCCTGTCTGCCATAGCCGCAACAATTGTTTTGATGCCAGCCATGCTCATTTTCGTCATTTTCGCTATATTATTTTATCGTGCGCTCACTACCTACAAAGTGGAACGAGCTACGGAAATGATACGTAATATTGATATGCGCATGTCCTTTCTTAGAAGTGGAGTTCAGAAGATATATGACGAAGATAACAGGAAACAACATGTTTGATGTTGAATACTTTTTGTACCTTTTCTTATCTATTCTTACATACAGTGCCCTCTTGTGTTCCTAATTGAATATGAATTGAATAATATAAATTGAGTGTCTTACTGGCTTTTGTTTGTCAGATTATTTATTTTTACTTAAATTGTTCGCAATATTTAACATAACGGGTTTATTTACCTTCCAGTATGCAAGTGGTTATGTAGGAGTCTCCTACATTTTTTCCGTTATTTATTTAACGGCAGATATCATGTTTGGATCTCATTACTTGATTTCTGTACTATGATCTTATGAATAAAGCATGCGATACAGCATCGATATGTGGGTTGGGGAATTATATAAGTTCTCAGATAAATAAGTATTAAAAAGGATGTTGATAATCGTACTAATCAGTCTTCAACGACTATCTCCTTGCATCTTGGGAATTACGTATAAAGGCTCATACAGCCCAATTAGATTGTAACTCTTATTCGGTCGATGTTATTTTAATTTTGATACCATAAGTCCCTATTCTTTTAGTTACTTTTCTTCAAAGTATTTCAATGATTGGGTCCGGGTGTTTAGATCATGTTCCGACAACTAAAGAATTGGTTTCTCCATAAATACACTAACAAATCATTATAAAACTGGAGAGGGAAAAGTCCTCATACACATTTAAATGAGCACACTTTCATTGATGATACGAGAACAGTTCCCTAATAATTGAATCTCGATTTACGAAGTATGTACGCATGAGTTTACCTCGTTCATCATAAGGTTGGTATATTATTATGGTCGCTTTCCTTGGATTAAGCCAAACAGGTTAGTGATTGGTACAACTGAGATGTGATTAGTAAACACTTGTTAGTTCGTTCGAATGAGATTTTAGAGTACTTTGAAGGATAGTTTTCTCAGTTCGGTGTGAATATTTACAGTTATTTATGATCATTCACAAAACTTGGACTGAAATTGATGGACAAGTAAGCAGTCTCGAAATGTGCACTAATTCTACTGATCGGTTAGTCATAAGCAATATACAACCTGACATGTGCATTTGCCTAGGTTACCACGCCTTACTAGGATAAGGTTATGAAGATGAATATCAAAGTAGTCATATAAATGGCAGTAAAAAACGTTATCAACAGTTTTATTCGGAAAGAAATAGGGAATTTTCAGGACAAAAAAATTCCCAGGCTTTTTTAAAACTCGAGACCCAGGAAAAAGTAGTGTCTGCACCTACAACACTACAATTTCCCTATGGACCGAGTCACTCAACGTCTCCAGCTACTGATCATGGTTTGCACGTAACATGGTTCAGATTAGTGGTAAGTGACTTCGCGGACTCACGATACGTCTCGGTTTAGTTCCTCCTGGTTTGAATTCAACCTACTACGAGTGGTGGCTTGGTGGTTTTAAGACCCTCGGTTTTCGGCTACTAAATCCTAGGTTTGAACCCCGCCCCTTCTACTTCTGTTTGGGCAACTGGGTAATATCATTAGCTCTTACACTTAGTGTGGCTCATACCGAAAACGTGTTTAATAAATTAATTAGAAACGATGACAAAGATCGGGTGTCGAAACAGGTAGTGGTTGCAGACATGCAATATATATCTCAACCACCTCAGTCTATGAAGATCTACATATTGATCAACTAACTTGCCACCTTTGTTTGGTGCCGTATCCCTAACTTCAGTATCACTCACTCTGTCGGTCCATGATAGACGAGGAATACTTCGAAGGCATGTTACACAACCTGCGCCCTGAGCGCGTCTTCTACTTTCATAGACCATGTTTCATGTCCATGGAATAGTACAAAGCGAATCGCTTCGTACTATACTTGTCATTTGGCGAGCAGATGGACATCTCGTTTACAGCACAACGCAAATCAGAGGAAGCCAACAGGACTTTGTGAATGCATGGTGAGACTGTTTTGGACGCCAAACTACCAGGGTTGACGAGACTTATGATATAAGTGGAGTGGTCAACATACTCAACTACTTCACTTCCTATGATCAAAGCAGGCGACGATCCAAATTCATCCTGATGACATTTTGCATTTGGAGGGCGAGAAGCACACACCGAACATGTTCACGTCTTTTCTCAAGCTGATCGAAATACTGGATTATGTCACCGTCTTCACCGAATAGGACTATATCGTCTGTCTACTTTAAGTTGATGGGTATTGGTAAATCAATCGTTGAAAAGGTATAAGAAAGCGACAGAATCTCGATCATTGTCATCCCTAAAAATTTATGGAGTCAGCCTGTTAGGTTATGCTGCTTTCCTTTGATTCAAGTTAGTTATAGCTTCCTTAACCTTACTAAGAGTTGGGGACCTAGGTGGAGTTTTGTTCTTTGAGCTGTATGGTCGAGGTCGACAGGACAAGCTGTGAGTCATGTCGAAAAATTCAAACACTTCACTCCTACTTAGAGTTTGTACTGATTATGTTGTTTAGAGGAACAATGAAAGCTTCGCGACCAAACCATCCAGCTCAGAAAACTAAACTCCACTTGAGCTACTAGTCTTTTCCACTATCTCAAGTTGGTGACTTGTGTCGATTTCCCATTTCGGTTGTTTGGAAATATTGTAACTCGACCTCTAACATTTGGGCTTTTGATGCCTGTCTTTTTTGATAAATCTGAAGACATGTCTGGTGTTATGTTTCATTTCCTTCCTTATCTCTTCTCCATTCATCGCCCACAATTCACGCGTAGGTTTTGTATCAGTTTGCGTGTAAGTTGTCTTCACTCGTTATCGCATTCGGAGCCTTAAATATACTTTTGACTTCTAAGTTGAGCTTTAAGAGTATTTCTTGAAGTTTTGTCATCCAGTATTACATGAGAACGCGTTTTCACAATACAGCTTTATCATGTATAACAGAAATGTACTGCAGAACGAGCACCAGCCTTCCACTAAATCTTAAGCAATAAATGACGATAATATGATCTACTTGCATCCGTCTATTTAGTTTCAATGGTCCCCATGTCAGATGATCATTTGTATTTTGGCTTCTTTCACAATTGTTCATTTAAATGAACACATAAATGGGAAGGCTCATTGCAATGTTCTTTGAAAGTTCGTTAAAACCACTAGTTTTTGTTTGACAGCTGTAGCTTATTACCACCATTGTGATTATATTTTATTCACTTTCTCAACTAATCAGTTTCTTATTGTTACTAGAAAATTTCACACAGAGTAAATGTTGTTTCCTTGTAAATCAGATTTATATTTTTGATTATGAATAGTTTGATGTGTAGTCAATAATTAAACTTGAATGGACTAGTAAAGTTTCATTGATCATCATTTTCCCCTTCATTTGTTTCTAGGGCACTTAATCTTTTTTAGTAACAATGTCCTCTGCCTTTACTGCAAAGGATTTGAATCATTTTGATTATGTTATTATTGGAGGTGGGATTGCTGGTGTTGTGTGTGCTGAAACATTATGCGAACTCTTAAATCCAAGCAGGTTTTCTGGGGCTCTCCAGTCATCGTCGGGTCATCTAAACTATGCATCTAAACGTGTAGCATTGGTATCTGCTTCTCAAACTGTGAAAACTACAGTCAATCTACGTCGAATAAGCAATATGATCGAAACTTTTGATATTGAGGAGAAATCTGGTAGTTCATGGTCCGAAACATGGCCCGACACGTTAACCGTAATCTGTGATACAGTGATAAAACTAGAGTGAGTTCTATTTACTTGATAGTTTATACTAGTCGCTGGTATTAGTTATGTCAGTCGTTAAACCATTTTCTTAAGGAAAAGTGTCCAAATATAACTTTGATGCTGGACCGTGGTTTTGATATACCTTTTGTCTGTTAATTAAAATATTTTGTTATTTTTGAGTGATTAAATGACTATATTTCTCTGCACTTTTGTAGAATAGTGTACCTACTGATCAAGTGAATAGCAAGCAGTGCTAGAATAGAGTATGTAAATAAACAAAGAGTTATCATAAAACCAGGACGATGTGCACTTGCTGCAGTGTCATCGACGGAATAAATCCGAATGTCTTATGCAACTTAATCCAATATTTCTTAACTTAATTGATTAGCATTATAAGTTGTTTGGAATATGTATCGTCCTCTATTTTGCACTCACCATAGCCATGACTAGTATTTGTTAAGGGTGTGCATCACACACTGTTGTGACATAAGATTACAGAAATATCAAATAATGTACCACCATTGCCCCAAATGCCCTGGTATGGCCGAGAGTGGGGTGGGCCCGCCCTCCCTCTCGTAATGCTCTCACACGGCCACGCGTATACAGCCTCTGCCAGGGAAGTCCTACTCACTGCCTTCTCGTGGCGGGGGTGTTGTTCACAAAAATGAGAGGACGAAAAGCGAATGTCCGGCGCTTTAACCGGATTCCAAACCAATGGTGCACATGGGCTCCAGTACCCTGCGGGAACAAATGGCGTATGAACCAATTGTTGGTCACCGGCTTCCATGGGACTCCATCTCCTCACGATGCTCCACTGCCTTGTGGATCAGACCTTTAGGTCGAAGGCTCGATGAGTGGCCCCCTAAGATAACCACATGCTTCGATCTGGGCACTCGGGCAGTTTCACAGCCCCCCCACACACAAATATGGTGTGGCGCATATATATTTGGTGCCCTCTTGTACCAGTATTTATGTATTAAAATAATAATAATAATAACAGTACCACCATTAGTAAAAAATTTTCATCCAACCTCAATCTTATCCCGTTGATGCTATCATCAAGCTAAATAACACTACGGACGTTGGTGACCAAACACAAACTTGATAGTTATTGTACATCATTTTGATTGTCATATTATGACAATACCTATTTTTGATGAATAACATTATTACCTCACTGATCAAATCGAATTCTTGACTGTAGACGCTTCTTTAATTACATGTTGTGATTACCCAATCGGTATTTATTGATTGAAACACTTGTTCCTTAAAATCCTACCATATCAAGGAGGCTAATTGAGAATGGATTTAAAAAAAACTTGCTGTTGACTACAACGAGGAGTGTCTACGTGGAACTACGCTTAGTTATGACTGACTAATTAGCCGATTCAGGGATATTGGGTTTAGATCTCATAGGTTGGTCGGTCAGAGAGGAATATGAAGAACACTGAGACATAGCTTAAGCACTTGTGTCCTAGGTTAGTTCTAAACACTTTCATTGTTTATTTATGTTCGTTTCAGCACAAATAGTATAGCGTATGTGTTTGCGCTATGTGCTTTATACGTATGATAGATTTATGGAATGTGTAGATGTCCGTTTAACATAGGGATTCTCTTAATGTCGCGTTAACACGTTTTTCAGTATACTTACGGGTCGATGTCCCGAAGTGTAGTTACGTAAGAAAACCACTTGCTTTGCGTCGGATAACAATGGCTTACAGTGATTAATCTATATATGTTCATTGTTGAGTTAATGTTGCTGACTATTTAGTCAGACAATATTGTTCCTTGTGTTAGCTAAGAACAAGTGCTTGTCAGAGAAAAATAGATATCCTTGGTTTATGAAATCCTTACGATTCTCATAGTATTCATTATAGTCCCCTGCTAATATGATTACCTTGCATTATGCAGTTAACTTGACATTTTTCAGTAAGATTTGTTTTTGATCTCATGTGAGTTCTAGTTAGTGGGCTCGTAAGCTATGGTAAAAATGGGCGCTTTGTTCAAGGGATATTTCTAAATCCATATCATACTAGTATTTCGAGGTGACTATCCATTGTAAACCGTTCAAAAATTTCCTTTTTTCCCATAGACTTAGTGTTTCATTTACATCTGCACACCGTGCAGGGCTGATGGGTGAATACTCAGACTTCCACAGATGGATTACGGCAGTTCATAAATCCATCATTTGTGACTAAGTGGGTAACTGTTGTGACTTTCAGTTCGGCTAGTTATCATGTAATTTATTCGCCAATCGAAATACGACTTATTCACTCTTGTACTGTACTACACCAATGACGTTTCCCCGGTCTGATCAGCCTAGCGTCCTTATTGGTCCTTTGCTCGCCTAGCCCGTCCAGTTGAGTCCAGAACACCAATAACAGCTTCCACTATGCGAATCATTTATTTCAGACATACTTGGTTTATATACCAACCAAACAGACCGCATCGCACTATAAAATAGGAAATAACATCTATACACAATAAAGCCAGAAAGTGGCTGTAAACGTGGGAGACAGTAATTAATAAACTGAGTATGCTTTAAGAATAGTAAATCGTATAATAATAAATTATAGGTCAAAATGAGGCTTATAATAAGAGGAATATAAATATACACAATCTAGTTACTGAACAGTTATATAATAAGAATATATATTTATAATATTAGTCCATTAATGGGTTTCAGAAGTTATTCGTAATTTAATCTTTGCTAGGATATAACAGTAACCACACTTATGTCCTGTGTGTCTGATATTGACAAAACTCATTATTTGCTTTAATTAGAGGTATCATTTCCGTCTTGGCTTAACGATCGAGTTCTCGTTAATTTTTCGTTGTTACCAATCATTACATGAATTTACGCCTGAGAATCTTTTGAAAGCTAGCAAATCAATGTTAAGGATTTCAGAATCAAACAATGTATTAGCACAACAAGGTAGGGAGGCCTTTATCGATGAAGTTTGTAAAATGTCACTTCGTTATCAATATGTTCTAACTGATCTGTTCAGTCATTTTCTTCATATATATACATATACATAATTTGATTTTCTCATTACATTTTTGGATTCAGTCCTTCTAGTCATACTGTTTATTTACAACAACGTGGTTATGAGAATCCAATTTTTTATAACAAATTATGTCTAACAACTGGCGGTGTTCCGCGGCTTATTGATCCGAAGCACCCATATGTTATTGGTCTAAGGGATACAGAGAGCATCAAAAATTTTCAACACCGTCTACTGGGTAAGTATATGGTTATTTATGGATTATACTGAAATACTTCATGTGCATTAATTTTGTCATCAGTTCGTATCATTAAGACGATTTAATCTTATTGTGTGGAAAGACTGACATAAAGAAGGTACTTTATAACATTTGACTAGAACGGCAACTTATTTGATCCACATTCTAGACCTTCATGGAACTAATTAATCATTCTTAAATAATGTGCATATACGTGAAGTTTGATTATAATAAGCAGTGTTTGAGCATTACCATAGTTTTTATTGTGTAATTAAGCGTACTAGTCGTGCTGCTGATTCTTTAAGATCTATGTATCTGTGTTAACATTTTACTCTAATTTAAATGCCTTTGGTATGTTTATCTGAACCCTGAAAGTTGATAAATGATGGGGTAATAAATTTCTCCCAGTTTCTATTTTTTTGTCCAATTAAGCTGTGGGACTTGATCGCCATAGTTTATTAGGATGTTCTACGCCTTCTAACAAATCGTTTATCTCACTGACTCAAATCAATTCATTCCTTTAGTAAATTTATATAGTGCGATAAGATGAAGCCTATCAGAACTATGTGATATATTAACTCAGTGCATTTAAAAAAATCTGATCACGCATTTATTTGTTAAGAACACTTATATATGAAAAATGAAAAGTCAACTAAACCAATGGAAGGTAAGAGGGAACAAAGATCATGAGGAAAATAATGTGGTGTGCTTCAGATTGTATTTCACATTATTGTGGAGCTGCATCAGTGATATCTCACGTGTTTCCGGACAAATCAGAAAAGGCCATTACTCGTGCTATTAGATCACTCACCAGCTCCGCAGAGCTTCAGCAGTTTTATCAGCGCAGACTATCTCAATCATCGATGACTGCGTTCTGTCTGCTGAACGTGTCATAATCCCAACGTAGCTGCAACCAGCAGTGTTTGAACAGTTGCACGCAGGACATCCCGGAATAAATCGTATTGAAACGCTAGCACGAAGTTATGTATACTGGCCGCATTTAGATACCCAACTGGAGCAGATATCTCGGTTGTGTACCAAATGTGCATTAGTAACAAAGGTACTGTAGAAAGCAGAGTTGCAATCATGGCCAATACCACAGTCACCGTGGCAGCATATACACCTGGATTTTGCTGGTCCACTTCATCGACAAACTTACCTTTTGTTAAATGATGCATATTATCAAGTGGCCAGAAATTTTCCTGACGGAACAGCCAATTGCAAGCGGCATAGTCGGAGAACTATGCCATTTATTAGTCGTTTCGGGGTTCCAGAACTAATAGTTAGCGACAATAGAGCACAGTTTGCATCTGTTATCTCCTCAGAATTTTCGTCGTCAGAACGGAATCAGTCATGTCCGAACAGCCTTCATTCCATCCTTAATCTAATGGCCAAGTAGAACGCAACGTTGGTACATTTAGAAATGTTCTGTAAAAGATCAAAAGGAGAGGGGACCACTGAAGAGACTTTAGAGAGGTTCCTGACCTACACCAAACCCTCAGACAATTAACGGGGTCCCTCTAACAGTAGCTTTACTTGACTGAAAAGTACGAACACATGTAAATGTCATTCATCCGACGCCAGCTCTTGATCCTCAAAGAGACATCGATAGAGTAGTGATTCAACGGATATGGGGCGCAAAGACGATTGTTCACTGTGGGTCAAAAAGTACCTACTATGGTCTGTCGTGATAAACATCGTACATAGAAAGCTGGTCGAATCGTGCAAAAGAAAGGAAGTGTGGTTTACGAGGTGTCAGTTGGCTCAAACGTTTGTGTGTCATGCTACCCAACCGAAAACAACTTCGATTGACATAAACCAGACCTGAAATAGAATACCTCTTAGTGTTCTACTGGACACCTTTGAAATCGAAGCCTCTGAAACAGCAATGCCAGTCTATGCACAAGCAAAGAGTGATACTATTTCTTTATTGCTTAGACGGTGGATAAATCGGAAGCACGAAAAAGTCGCACGGTCATAGGTGGACTCTAACACCGGATCTTACCTATTTGCTAGGAGAGGATTTTTTAGTGGTGTAGTGTATGCTACTGATGTCGACAGATATAAGTAGCATTTATCATCAATGTAAGGTGAAATGCCTGGCGGCGGAAGGTTAAGAAGATTAATGAAAAGGGAACAAAAACAGAGTGGTTGGTGTGGAAATGAAGGAATAAAGCCATTATTAATAATAATAATAATAATAATAATAATAATAATAATAGTAACAATCAAGTCTGAGACAATTGATTGACATTTTTCAGATGAAGTATTTACTGCATGCTTCTCAGATTTTACTGAGATTCTGTAATTTTGTGTTAAAACACATTCTGTTGTCCCCACTGTTATTCTTGTTCACTACAATGGTATATAGATTAGATTAAAGCATGTTCCGTTAGAGATTGTGTTGGGGAACATAAGTACGTTTCTGTTCAACCGTGTTCTGATTTAGAGACTTGTTATGTGAAGTAGTTTCCAAGAATACTAAGCAATAAGAGTAGCTGGGTCATAACAAGAGAAACCATAACAGAGGTACACCAAACTTCTATCGAGCCCCTCACGTCGCTATCAGCCACCAATGGAGGGACTCGGTAGAAGACCGTCGCTCGTTCTGGAGCACATGCTTAGATTCAGATCGTGCTCTAATGCGAGCGCGTATTTGTCTGCATTTTATTGGACGTAGGAAAGACGCTGGAAGGAAACCCCTTAGGATTCTGCTTAATGATAGCTAAGCTAAGAATATATTTCAGAAACAACTAGGAAAACAGTTAGGCAGCCGTGTAAGTGATGCCCACCGCGAGGCCGCTTGGAATGATATCCGAAGAACTGGAAACAGCACTGATATCTGCTAATAAGGTTAACCATAAGGTTAGGGAGAAATATTGGATCTCAGCAGCATCTACCCCGCTGATAGGTGCTCAAAAACTTATCCCATCTGGCTCTGAACATGACGAAGAGCGGAGTCAGCTTAAGCGCAGGCTGATAAGAAGTCTACGCAATGATCGCAAACAGTGGAGGGTAGCGAAAGCAAGAGAGATGGAAAAGGCAGCGGCAATAGGTGATAGCAGAAATTGTTCAGACTCGTTAAGGAAACCGGAATTAGGAACCCGACCATTAGCGAAACAATCTCAGAGAAAGATGGACATATTATTCATTCTCAATCCAGGAGATTGGATCGATGGGCAGAACACTTTAGGGATCAGTTCAACTGGCCTTCAGCAACACTTCGGTTTCCCACGATCTCTAGTCAACCTGAATGGCAAGTTAATGTAGGTCCTCCGTCTCTTTACGAAGTTGGAAAAGCTATAGGAAATCTGAAGCGTAAGAGAGCAGCAGACCCTGACAGATTTACTCCTGAGATTTTTAAGGATGGCGATCCATATTAGCAGTGAGATTGACTGAGGTCTTAGTTGGAGTCTGGAAACAGGATGTAATCCCATCTGACTGGTCTCAATCACTGATTGTGTCAATCTATAAGAAAGGACATAATTCCTCTTGTGATAATCACAGAGGAATCAATAATAATAATAATAATAATAATAATAATAATAATAATAATAATAATAATAATAATAATAATAATAATAATAATAATAATAATAATAATAATAATAATAATAATAATACTTTGACGCCTAATCAAAACTCGTGAAGAATAGACTAGAGAAAATCAGGCTGGTTTTCGACGTAGACGTGGTTGTATAGACCACATATTCACACTACGTCAGGTTCTAGAACATAGACACACATTCAGACGCCCCACAATCGTAGTATTTCTCGACCTTAAGGCGGCATTCCACTCTGTTGATCGTGAGGTTCTGTGGCAACGTTTGTCACTGAAAGGAGTACCAAAGAAGTACATTAACCTTATAAAGGCTCTCTACTCGAACACAACTGGTCGGGTGAGAGCTTATGGCGAACTGTCATCAGAATTGATTACCCAATGTGGTGTTCGTCAGGGTTGTCCACTCTCTCCATTCTTGTTTAACTTTGTCGTCGACGTACTTTTGGAGATAACACTTTCCTCGTCTAAATTTCCAGGGGTTGAACTTCTACCGGGAGGTTCACTTGTTGACTTAGAATATGCTGATGACATAGTTTTATTTGGTGAAGACGCTGACAAAATGCAGAGTCTTCTGACCACTCTAAGCAACAATGCAAGCATGTTCGGGGTGCGATTCTCCCCCTTGAAATGCAAAATGTTGCTTCAGGATTGGGTTGCATCGACACCCGAACTAATGATAGGGAGTGAAGTAATTGAGCGTGTCGATCGCTTCACTTATCTTGGAAGTCTCATCAGCCCTTGTGGTCTGGTGTGACGAAATTTCAGCACGGATACAGAAGGCTCGACTAGCTTTTGCCAACTTGCGTCATTTATGGCGTAGGCGAGATATCCGTCTATCAACCAAAGGACGGGTTTACTGCACAGCAGTTCGTTCCGTCCTGCTTTACGGCAGTGAAAGATGGCCAGTAAGAGTAGAGGATATTCGTAGGTTACTAGTATTTGATCATAGGTGTCTTCGAAATATTGCTCGTATATCCTGGGACCATCGAGTAAGTAATGCAGTTGTTAGGAAACTGGTACTAGGTAGGGATGGCAAATCAATTGATGAAGTAGTGAAACTTCATCAGTTGAGATGGCTGGGACACGTGTTACGTATGCCCAACCACCGACTGCCTCGACGTGCGATGTTCAGTGGTATAGGAGTAGGTTGGAAGAAAGCTAGGGGCGGCCAAACCAAAACATGGCACAAGTCCATGAAGTCACTGACAAGTGGACTGAGTCATGTTGGTAGGTGTAGACTACCTGGTTGGGGACCGCGAGATGATAGCAACCGATGGTTAGAGACCCTGAATGACATGGCTCAAAATCGTTTGCAATGGCGCAGTTGCATACACTTTGTGTTCTCCCAAATTCTAATCTCCTGAATTCTCCTTGCCTTTTTTTTCTCTTTCCAAATTTATTTCACTGGATTATACTTTTTGAATAACATTTTCAAACCCTAATCTTTCTAATCACTGCTTATACTTTTACTACCTCTACTACTATGGGATTTTAATCGACAATTGTACATCTATGGTAATATGGTTTGGCGACTTGAACTGATGTACGTACATACGACGTTCGTTGTTGTCGCTGAGTGATTGAAATCGACGAGTTCCAAAGTGGACAAAAAGTTTATTCTGAACTCCATTGCTGGGCGCAATCAATCTCCTGTATGAAACCATTCCTAGAAACCTTGGTACGTTCGAGGATGAGGAATTTTCACTCTCTCTCTCTCAAATCAGTTTCATACAGCCTTGAATGTGTAGCCACTGTCAAGGGACTCCTACTCACTGCCTTCTCTTAGCGGGGCTTTTGTTTACGAAATTGAGAGGATGAAAAACGAATGTACGGGGCTTAAACCTAGTTAGCGGGTACAGAGAATTCTTCTAGGGGTGTTGGAGAACCCTGATTCCAAACCAATGGCGGACATGAGCCCCAGAATCTTGGGGGCACAAATAGCCTATGAACCTATTCTTGGTCACCGGTTACTATTGAACCGCATCTCTTAACATCGCTTCATTGCTCTGTGGATTAGACATCTGGGTCGAAGGATTGGGGAGTGGCTCCCTAAGAAAATCACCTGTTTTGTTTGGGCGCCTAGGCTGTACCCTAGCTCACACACAAATCAGATGATGGTCAGAACTAAAAAAATTAACTCTCGCTTCAATTCGCACTCTCACAAATTGTATTTACAATTATTTGGTAATATTCGTTTATACTTTACAATGGATAGGTTGTCTGTTCTCGTTTAGTGTATTCCTTTATTTTTAACTCATACAACAGCTCGCCTATGGTAGGAATCCATTCCTATTTAAACGATCTGAAGTATTTGACCAGTCGAAAATTGAATACTTTCATTGAATACGAATGCTGAAACTATGTCTGACATTCAAACTGGCCTCCTTCGACGTTCGCTTACTAATGCAGATATGACAACACATAGGATTGACAATGTCTTTAGAAAGTCTTAACATTGATGTCTGTTGTCTGTTCGAGGCCTTTATTCAAGAATAGTGTTGTACTACAAATTCGCTATCTGTCGCTTCGAAAAGCTTGTTTTATTTGCGTTTATCCGGGGACTTTGTGGCATTTTCGTCTGGTTTGGTTGGTGTAAGTGTCTCACTGAGCGCTAGAGTAGAGGTTGCATTAGTTGATTAGACCCTCATTAATAGTCGATTGTGTGCTGTTAGTTTAGAAAGCTCCATTAAATTGAGAAGTAATCGGTGTGAGAGACGATGTCTCCGTTATCTCCGCCTACACCCAGAAATATTGCAGCCCGGACGTAATCAAGAGTGAGTTCTGCCACCAATTAAGTGGTCTGCAGAAACCGCGTTCGTCAGATATCGTAGCACTGTTTGGAGATTTAGATGTACAGTCTGGACGTTCAGGCACAGAAGAATCATTTAAGTAGCTAGTGTGAATTTGTTGGTCACAGGTCAGATAACAGTGGCCGTCTATTGCAACTTTGCGTAGACTACAACCTGTTCATGACGAGCACTAACTATCAGCACAATCATCGCCGATGTGCTACCTGGTGTCCTTTTTCTGCAGCTCAGGCCTAGACTCAAATCGTAGGCAGTCACCGCTGGCGTGGTTGTGAACAAAACCTTCGCTCCTTCGGCCCTGATCATAACCTCCTTTGCACAAATCTTATCTTACGTTTCAGTGGCCAACAAATTCATCGTCCTAAACGGATCTGTGCAAGGAAATCGGTTACACTTTTTGTTGCAAGTGGTAATCTAGTCGAGAAAATTTCAAGGCTATCTATCAACAAACCGAAATGTATAGATGAGGACTGGCTGTAGTTACATGTGGCTATCAAAATGGCGAATAAAGTCACTTGCGGCTTCGCGAAAGGTCCCACTTATAAGGACTTGGTTTCTACATTCTACTTTCAAATCGTTGAGGCATGTCGGTCTACTTCGGCTAACGATAAACATGATGTTTTTGCTAATTGAATGCTTAATTCAATTTCCTAGCTGCTTTCAGTGACACCAGACTAAATCCACACAGCAACTTGAGCACAAGAGAAAAGGCACGGGAACTGGTTATAAGGGTTTATTTAACTCCCGAAATAAACCAGAATGATTTGGAAATGCACCACTTTTTATGATTTATTTACAATTAGATTAACAGTCAGATTTGTAGAAATTGAACTGACTTGTATTTAACAACAATAATTCACTAACTTACTGTGTGAACACATTTGCAATATGGTGTGATCAAGCATTTATAATCCTTCCTAAGCAGTGAATAAACGTCACACGCGGTTGGAAAAAAGGTCGGTTTCGTATATCATTCGCATTCCGATTGATTAAGTTATTACTCGCCATATCAAAACGTATATTCTTACATCAGAAAATTGTTCATAGTTTACCTAAGGACCGAGAAGCTTTATGGTTGGTGCACGCTAACAAGTTGGAAGCAGCATCTGCGTCTTGAAACTGCCGGAGGATCTTCCAACTCACACAAACCACTGACAACAAGATTCATTTATTTGAACGGATAAACATTGGTACACCAAATACATACGTGCCACACAATAACAGTGATGTCGTGAAGAGACACAGAATGCAAAGTGAGTATAATAAAAAAGGGAACAACAATGAACAGAAGTTAGTGTATGAGAGTGAAATAATAATAATAATAATAATAATAATAATAATAATAATAATAATAGTAATAATAATAATTGGAAAAATAGTTCATTTAGGAGAAATACAACCAGAAGGAATTCTTTCGGCTAAAAAAGTTTACTTTTGTGAAGAAAGTAAAAAAAAGTTACCATAGGATCACCACTGGCTTCCATTCCGAGCCATGTTTGATAACGTCTCTAGTCAATGTATTGCACCATCTCTAGGACTCCAACCAAGGAGTCTTGGAGGACCAAAACAAGTAAGTCCTGTACAGCCACGATAGAGCATTTTAATCTTAAGTTATTGTGTCAATTGCTTCAGGTACATGTATATCTCTAATAATCGTAAAAGACTTCGAATTTCGGAATTTTATAGGAATATTAGATCATGAACCTGATCTTTTTTCATGTCGTCAGATGTTAAAAGCTTGATTTATTTGATCAATTAGTGGTTTTAGATTCTTAACTATCCATTTAGTGTTCTAGGTATCTCGAGAAATGACACACATCGACTAGGTATTGTTTCCCATACTTCATTTTCATCTTCGCTTGTTTCCTTAACAGTCCGGTTTGTGAGAGTCCCAAACTCAATGTTTAGTGGCTAGAAATCCATTATGAATCATCACAAAAATTATAGTACATCTGTTCTTCATTCTATCTTTTCTGCTTAGGCACTCGTCGTATGGTGTTAGTTGGGAATGGAGGTATAGCAACAGAGATCGCACATGAAGTCTCTGGTTGTCAAATTATTTGGGTTATTAAAGACAACAGCATTAGCACACCATTTCTTGACTCAGTGGCTGCCACATTTTTATTAGAAGCAAGAGAAATTTCAAAGCAAAATGATTCTGTTGAGAAGAAAGCTGAAGTTAGTTCCAGACCATCTGGAGATAAAATCTCAGAGGATACACAAATCAGACGCATGCGTTATATTGTGGCTGAGGAACGCCAATCAGAAGATATCACAAAAGCTTCAGAAGATCATCTCATGCTTGTTCCTGATCAACAGCATCCGTACGAATTGGATATCGGTAAATCATCAGTTGCTGGTGCTGCTCCAGGTCCAGATTGGGCATATGGACGCAAATTACATGGACGACTTGTCAATACAGTCGATGGTAGACTACTTAAAGTATGCATTCGTCGGTATTATATACTTCATGTGTGTCCATTTTACTAGCTATAAATTACTCAACTGAATTTCTATGTTACCATGTTTTACTATATTATAGTGATGCATAATGAATGACACAATTAGAGCAATGTTTGAAGATTAAGAATCCATTTTATTTAACTGCTTTTACATCTGATATATAAATAGGTTAAAAATATTACTTATAATTTGGAAACTTTTTTACCAATAAGATTTATCACGTATATCTACTTCATTTAATTACTTCTTACAGGTAGTTTATCAAACCAAAATCAAACAGTTTTTATCTCCAGAAGAGTTTCATGACTTAAATAGATTAGAAACCCTGCCTTTTACAAACAAGCTCAATGATAATGTGTTATCCGTTAATGATTGGCCAGTTTATGTCGAGTTAACAAATGGTGAAATTTATGGATGCGATTTAGTTGTAAGTGCAGTTGGCGTTGAAGCAAATTTAAATCCACTAAACAGAAGTCCTAGCAACGTGGATAATACTACTCATAATACTGGTAATACTTATAACATTAATAATAAAGGAACTGAAATCACAGAGTCATCTAACTTAGATGCTTTATTTCATTGCGCCTCTATGGAACATGGTGGTGGTCTGTTAGTAAATGAACAAATGGAAACAAATTGGAAAGATGTGTATGCAGCAGGAGACTGTGCATATGCCAATTGGACATGGTCTCCACATTGGTTTCAAATGAAATTATGGAGTCAAGCTAGACAAATGGGATTTCAAGTGAGTTTTGCAAACTTTTCTCATTGTTACCTGTATACGAATATATGCTATGATGTTCGTTTATTTACGATATTTTTGTATACGTAAAACTGTATGTGCAATTTTGTAAATCTTTTAATGTATGATGTTAATAGTTTTGACTAATTGTAATGCAATTTTACTAAGGAATCCATTAATCACCAACTGGATTGAAAATTATAACAAATTGTACTTTTTGAAAATAAGCTCTACAGGAATGAATTCATAGTATTAACTGAATTTTGCTGGATTTTTTCGTGGTTGCATTTTTTGTTTGTGTCTTACATGAACTGCTGACCTTGATATTTGTTATAATCTTAATTGGATGAAATGTCGTGGATTGGTTGAAGTTAGACAGGAACACCGTTTGATGCCGGCTCAGTGGTCTAGAAGTTAAGCGTTCGTGTGAAACCGAAGGTCCTGGGTTCGAGTCCCGGTTGCGGGGTCATGGATGCGCACTGTTGAGGAGTCCCACGCTAGGACAAAACGGCCGTCCAATGCTCTCAGGTTTTCAATGGCAGCTTTGCATTGATCGGTTCATAATTTCAAAAAACGTTAGGGTTCAACTATTTTATATTGCTTTAATTTTATGTGAATTTAATTGTGTGATTTTTTTCCAAACGAAATTCTAGTTCACAGATGAAATTATATAATTATTGTTCACATGTTGTACAATTTATTTCATGTCATAATAAATGTAGAATTTTATTTTATACCTTATGTTGTAATATGAATTATTTGCAGTCAGATGAGATTCAGTCAGTCAGTCAGCTACAACGTAGGACCAGGCACATGTATTCATTGGTCCAAGTCGTCATACCTCATTAACACAACGAGATGGACACCGGATTCATAAAAGTAGTTAATTCAGAGGTGGCAATATATAAAAGAAAGATTGCAATAAGGATATAGTACAGGAAGAAAGAATTAGTTGGTGGAAAGAAAGATATGAAGCGATTTTAATCTCTTAGTTTAAGGGAAGACAGGGAGTGTATACACCGACACCATTGTGATCGATTCTGAGCCATGTCACCAAGAGTCTCCAACCATTGGTTACGATAGTCACGTGGACGCCAACCAAGTAGTCTGCATCTACCAACATGTCACAGACTAGAAGTTAGTGACTTCAAGCACTGATGCCACGTTTTGGTTTGGCCGCCCCTAACTTTCTTCCAACCATCTCCAATACCGGATAGCATTGCACGTCGTGGTAATCAGTGTTCGGGCATACGTAGCACGTGGCCCAACCATCTCAGTCGATGAAGATTCATAACCTCATCAACTGATTTACCATCATTCCCTAATACCCTGCGTCTAACCTCACTATTACTTACCCGGTGATCCCAGCAGACGCCACCAATATTTCTAAGGCATCTGTGGTCAAATACTAGTAGCTTACGAGTGTCTTCTACTCCTAAAGGCCATATTTCGCTGCCGTAAATTAAAACAGAACGGACTGCCGCGCAGTATACTCGTCCTTTTATTGATAGACGGATATCTCGCCTTCGCCATAGGTGACGTAAGTTGGCAAAAGCCAATCGAGCTTTTCGAATCCGTGCTGAGATTTCGTCAAACACCAACCTATTAGGGCTGATCAGGCTTCCAAGATAAGTGAAGTTGTCAACGAGTTCGACTACTTCACTCCCTATCCTTAGTTCAGGTGTTGACGCAGACCAGTCCTGAAGCAACAACTTGCATTTAGAGGGAGAGAAGCTCATTCCAAACATTCTGGCATTGTTGCTTAGTGCTACCAAAAGACTCTGTATTTTATCAGCGTCTTCACCAAACAGGACTATATCATCTGCGTATTCTAAGTCGATAAGTGGACCTCCTGGAAGGAGATCAATACCCGAGAATTCAGTAGACGAGAATTTTATTTCCATCAATAGGTCTATGATGAAGTTAAACAAAAATGGAGAAAGTGGACAGCCTTGATGGACACCACTTGAAGTTGCAAAAGTAGATGACAGTTCGCCATAAGCTCTGACTCGACTGGTAGTGTTCGAGTAGAGAGCCTTCACAAGGTTTATGTACTTCTGAGGTACGTCTTTCAATGACAGACACTGCCACAGTATCTCGCGATCTACAGAGTCAAATGCTGGTTTTAAGTCGAGAAAGACCACCATTGTCGGACGCCGATAAGTATGCCTATGTTCTAGAACCTGACGAATGGTGAATATGCGGTCAGTTGAGATTAACCCATAAAATAGAAAGTTTGGCTTTTAGAAATAAAGTTTTATGATTGTCTTTTGTTGTTAGCAACAAGTTGCTATTGGTTTACTTCTTGTGCAGTTTTAAACTACTGTTATTCTAACTTTCCAAAAGACATTGTCATTTTTGTAAATAAATATTGTTACTAGTGGATTTGAAACTTTAGATCCCAAATAAAATCTTCGGTACAGTAGCGGTTCTTTCAGTTTCACGTTGCTGTCAATCAATATGAGAGAAAATTCATTTTCTATAAGCATTTGTTAGATTTAATCGATTCTTCATCGATCGTATTTTCGGTGCAAACTCTTCTAGCTTTCGAAAATAGGAAACGTGTTAAGTTTATCCTCCTACTCAGCGGAACCTAGCTTTGGCTGACATCCAGTGGCAACACCATGTCAGTAATGCAGAGGTTCGGCATTGTGTGTTCGGGCACACATACGATAATCCAGTTGGTGTCATCATCTTGAAACATCGACTTCGGTGGCTTGGACATGTTCTACGAATGTCGTCCCAGGGAATTCCACGTCGTGCATCATTTTTCGACGCTGGAACTGGTTGGAAAAAGCGGAGAGGTGGTCTGTGTATGACATAGTGTCGTGGTATGAAAGAAGGCTGCAGATGGCTGGCTTCTGTTGGTCCTTCACGGCTCCCTGGTTGGGGTCCTAGAGATGGTGCTACACAGTGGCTAGAGACGTTATCAGATATGGCTCAGAATAAAAGCCAGTGGCGACCCCGCCGTAACCTTCTTTTACTTTTTTTTCATAAAAAGTAGTTGTTTCTTCCTTAACTGAAAGATTTCTTCTGATTGTAACTTTCCGTTTCCCCCATTATTACTATTATTATTATTATTATTATTATTATTATTATTATTATTATTATTATTATTATTATTATTATTATTATTATTATTATTATTACTATTACACTACTTTACATTAATCTGTTCGTCATTGTTCTTTTTTTACGCTCCTTACCTTTTCTCTCTCTTCGGATTCGCATTGTTTTGTGTGGCGCATATATATTTGGTGTCCTCTTGTACCAATATTTATATGTTCAAATAAATAAATAAATAAGTTCATGATATTCACGTGTTTGTTGATGAATTTCATTGCATATCCATTCCTTCTAAGCAGGTTAAAAATATTATTCAGTTAATCTGCGATCGTGTCATCAGAGCAAATCATCCTAGCACGATGAGTCAGAATCCTTACTAAATTGCTTTTGTATCTAATCGGTACAGCAATATAGAAATGAGTATATTGTCCAACTGTAGGCTTTGTTTATATCCCTCTTTTTAATGTCGTATCTACTCTTCTTGTTAGTAGGGCATTTAGAAATGTTGTGTTATTGCTATTCTTGAGCATGAAAAGGATAATTTGCTTAAAATGTTTGATTACATTCATCCATCTATTACTGATAATCGATTACCCTTTCTGAAGATTCTTTGTAAATTTCTGTTCAACTTGATGAGTTGTACTTTTTTAAGTTGTTTCTTTAGAGAACTTGCATGTTTTTAAAATGAGTCATTTATCAATATGATCTTTTCGATCTTTGAAGACGACCATTTTCGCCGTATCTTATACTACTTAGCTGCTCAAAAGTAGTGTAAAAAGTAAACGTCAAACGTTGCTAGACGTTTATCAACTCACGAGTAAAAGTGGTATTACACTTTTTTCTAAGTACACCTATAACTGATTTTTGGGATCTACGTTAGTTAAATGTACTACTTCATTGGGTAGAATACAAAATTGAATAACAGAACAAAAGTAGGTGATCTTCATTAGTTTTTTGTTTGGAAGTATTTCCCACCTACTTAGAAGGAGTGCGCTCCTACAATCCCGTAAATTTCACTATTTGGTTCTCATATTTTCGCGCTACTTTTGGTATTTTGTACCTTTAGGCTGCTAAGTCTATGTTTTGCCATAGTCGAGGAGACCACAATATCCCGCTGGATTTTTCTTTCGAACTTTTCACTCATGTGACTTACTTTTTTGGATTTAAGGTGAGTTATTTTTCATACTAGGCAATGTATATTGTAGTATAAACATTTACAGTGACTATTTTTCACTATACAGTTTCTTTTTTCTGTTCGTGTTTGTGTGTCATGAACAACTGATGGATGCAATAAAATACTCTTATTCATTTCGCATGCAAGATGGACAGAAAATGTTAGTTAACAAATAATGAAAATTAAAGTGTCGCATGTTTTTTTAGGTGACTTGTTTCGTTTTGAACCACTTGTTTATATCTGAATCAGCATTATCAGTAATCGAATTTTAGCTTGTTTTACTTTGAATGATTATATAATCACGATAATTCGTCTTACTGCTCTTGAATTTGATTGTACGTGACTTTACTGGATTAGATTGTACTGAAATCGGTGTTTAAAGCTGTTATTTCATAATTACCACTTTTATAGCTGGGAAATTGGGTCCGTCAGCACTGTTTCAACTGTGTAGCCAACTGTTACATCTGGGGAGTCATCGCTGTTATATGCGTATCGACTCTGTTGAGTCCTTAGTCTTACTGGTTTTACTTGGCAATCAGAGCACCGTTGCAATTCACGGAGCTTTTGCTGGAAAATGAAAGCCACTACAATTCCCACGACGCAAAGTGAGAAAATGAAAGTCTGGTTCAATGAAGATTTGTTGAGCGCCTAAAAACACTTCCCCAAACAAGTCTCGAAATCACATTATCTTTAGACCACATTACAATCATTCATGTATTAAATTTCACACCCATTTAATAGTATCATATGGGGGGAAATATATATTCAATTACCGTTAAAACATACACTAAGTATAGTTCATCAGAATTAACACAGAATATGATATTGTCATAGTGAACAAGAATTCACACATGTTATATGAAACATTTTATACCAAATTCAAACAAGAATATAGTGACCTCAAAATGTCGCACTGGACGAAGTTCACACCTTTCACCCTGACCGAAACTCACAGCGAATTGATACGAAAAGTATTGACCTGAATGATGTCATTTTCTTGTCTCGTCATATCAGAAGTTCAAAGTAGGTCATAACAATTACAAACTCATCTACATACTATATCTGGTTGTGTACTGAACAAATTCCTCATGATTTCACTGGATTTACTTTTTGTAAAAAGATTGGTTCTTCCTTGTATCTTCAAGTTTTATTGCTATTGTTAGTATAATGTTTATTCTTATTTATATTATTTGCGTCTTTTTTTTCCGATCGCCCTTTTGTTTGCTTTCCACGAAGTATAACAATTCTAGTCGACAGATCGTTGACTCAAGCCATATGTTTCAGAAGTGTGGTCACTGAGCGAATACGAGTAAACGTTCGACTTACTAACCAATAAATGTTTTTAATTCGTTTCTTTTATTGAATTTTACTCGGAACTCACGGTATGTGTGTGAACTGTTAGTGCTTGTGTCACATAGATCTGTTTTCTGGCCTACACTCTGATTCTGTCTGTATTTGGTGGCGATTCGTAAATATAGTTTAACATGATTGTAATTTGTGTTTTGCTCATAGATAGAGTGTCTAGTTTATTGGTATTGTAGTCTCGGGTTTAGGTCATATAATCGTATTATGGCATCACATCGTGGTAAGTGAAAATATTATTGTCCTGTCGTTATATCAGTTCCATTTTTGAATATTTTGTTCACTGTCATCTCAGTTACCTACATAGATAGATAAGTGAAGCAGTAGCACAATGGTTTTTATCAGTAAGTTGACTATTCGAACCTTGCCTTACCAGTTATAATTTGGGGAGCCTGTTGTTTTTATGGCATCTAGCACTATGCCAAGTCCACATGGTCTATTCTAGGTTCCTGATAAACAAATTTATTCTTCTTGAGTCACCTTTTGACGTTGTTAGTTTGCGCTTATTAACCTGAGTTGTTTCTATATGAATGTATGTGTATATCGCTTATCCTACTCATCACATATCTTTTGTTTATTTCGGTCTGGCTATAAATATTGGGTCACGCTTTATCAAATTGAATTGGCATGTTTACCTCCTCCGGTCTTCTCTGTTTCATTTCTCTTATTGTATGTTTGGGGAAATGAGTATATGAAAGATACGTATCCGAAATTCGTCCTCATATTTGACTTATTTTATTTTGTTATTCTCTAACTCAAATTAAGTCGATAATTACGTACGAGGGTAGACGGCGTTTATATGTCATTGACAACATCAAACGATCAAATCGAAGTCAGTTAAATGGGCCACCAAAATATCACTGGCCTCTATACAACTACTTCCAAGTTGAGTACATGTATGTAGTAAAAAAGAATAAAGCTTTTAGTGTTTTTAGGTTCTTCGAGCTCTGATATAGAAACATACGAATTTAAATGCTACAAAAATATGATCTCTTTTTAATAGGTTGGCTTGTTTCAGTATTCGTTGTTAATAATCAAATTTAAATTCCCGTCGAGAATTTCGTAGGTTAATATGTATGTGTTTATATATATATATGTCTTCATGAATTATTAATATTTATTACCATGCTTTCCTTCATTTGGAAGTTCCCGCTCATCCTTTTCCTTTCAGATTGTTCTGTTGGGTCGTTTCAATGGTCAGGGTATGAATCTGTCTGCATCGGATACTTATCTTTTAATGCGTGTTACACGTGGACGAGAATTCATCAAATGTATCATGCAGTCGGGTCGCATGCAAGGCGCAATATTAATTGGAGAAACTGATTTAGAAGAAACTTTAGAAAATTTAATTTTAAATCAAATTGATTTGACTAATTTAGAAGATCGTCTTCTTGATCCAGACATTGATTTATCGGATTATTTCGATTAGTAATCTACAATGGGCTCCATTTTTAATAATATGTATATATTTTTATTTTTATGTATGATACTACTTCGTGTGAATGATTGCTTTAGTTTCAATTATTTGAATTGTCCCTATATGCATAAGTATATGGCTATCAGCAGAATATTAGTTAATTGGTTATGTATACATACACAGGATTAACATTACATTATGTATGTGTGCCATTAAACTAGCTACAAATTGTAATGATTGCTTTGAATACAATTATTATGAAGACTTCATCATTTCATAAAAATACAAAGGAGATACATTGTCATTTCTTGCCAGTAAACTGACTGAAATAAAATACTACAAACATAGCTTACTTTATCATCTTGGGATGAGAGCAAAAAGAAAGATCTGAGGAGAATAGCATTAATTCATTTTATTTTGTTTGATTCTCGTCAGTTGCTTACAATCTGTATTATTTAAAAGTGATAATTACAAAATGGGTTCAAATTACTTACATGAAAGAATAGTTGGAATTTTCTTTGATCACACATCAGTATAATATAGCAAAGGTGCAAATAGATTTAATCGACTAAATAAAATATTGTAAAGATATACTTTATGTAAAAGAACATTCCAAAATACTGTCAGTAACAAAGAGTCAAAAGAACTTGTGTTTACGTAATGAATAAACGCTGATAATTGGTAAGAATAAGATGAGTAAAACCCAGTTAGGTAAAATAAGATTACTTAATCTAAAAGACACTCGAAGTAAAAAAGGTGTAATGATATAATTAATTGAAAGAATGAGCAAAATTTTATGATTTAATGAAGTAATATTTGTCATCAAAGCAAATAAAGATCAATAACCATCTCGTTTAGAACACATAAATTAGGTTTTTGACGCCTGATAGTAATGGCCTCAGCAAACTTTAGATGACTTGAAGCTCGGGTGTTTATTAATCACCTTAAAAGATTGCAGTGTATCGATCTGGTGTCCTTCGTCTAAGATATGTTTAGTGGTTGCATTATTTAAAGTAGTTCTTTCTCTTACCCGAAGGCTCTTTAGAACATGTTTAATAAATCCAAGATATGGTCTTTCTGTCCGACCAATGTGGCTGATTTGACAAGTACACGTAAATTTATAGACGCAGTTGACAGTAGCACTAAAGGGGTGTTTATCGACCTTTGTCTGTGTTATTAAACATGTTTTATGTAGAATTAGTAGTTTGGCTTCGGAATAAGTCCTGGATGATACAGTGTTAGGCCTCCTTTTAATTGTGCTTGCGACATAATGAACTTTGAAGCTGAGATTTATAAATATTGGTTGTTTATTAACTGTAGTCACATCCGCCTTGTTGTCTTTAGTTTTATTAGATTTATCAATAAATTTAGCCAACGCCACAATAATCTATTGACGACTAGCTCAATAACCGCAAATATCTTAAGCTTCGCCTTCAGCTCAATAGGCAGATGGAACGCGAACATAGCAAATACCGTACAACTGTAATTCAAAAATCTTGTGATAATATATAGTAAATAGCTGTTAATGTAGGAATATAAATAGGGAATTACATTATGTACATGAGTACGCTATAAGTGAAGGAAAATTTAGCAATAGGTCCGTGGTTAATTAACAGTAAATTATCGAGTTTAGAACATTTGATGACAGCTTATGAATCGATTGAGAGCTGACAATATAGCAAATATAATCTACATTATTATTTATACGATTAAAATGTAAATAATAATCTCCATTAAGATTGTTCTGAAAGTCTAATTCCGAAATCCACTCCAATATAACAGTTACTTTTTGTGTAAACTATACGTATAGGTTTTTATAACTTGTATTTTGTCGGATAACAACTACGAAACTGGATCAGGGGCTTGAAGATTTAATGTCCTCTGACTTGCTGTCAGATCTATCTAATTTTTCATATTTCTAGTAACAAAAATGTACAAATCTATCAAATCATATTATACAAGTAAAATCAACGATAATACCTGTGGTTTACATGGTCCGAGATTACATATTGTCCAAAACTGAATTGATGACTCTGAAGATGCATAACTGTGATATATTTCTTATCACATACATTTGTCTTGATGGTATTTTACTTACTAGATTCTGGTTTTAAGGTTTTATCATCAACTAGTGTAACAATTAATAATTATATGCTTTTAGTTTAAAATGTTGTTGGTAAAAAAAGGGATATGAACGTTCATTGTTGCAGTTAGCTGTTTGTCAATAGTGATCTTTCAAATGTACTGCAAAAGGTGATTCTAATTAATATTTAGTGTTGAACAAATTTAGCTCTCAGTTGTGTGAATGTAGGCAGCCATATAAAATGAAGTCTGAAAAACGGTGGTGGATAAGTACACTGAATGTACACTTCGAAATTGGTATTCTAAAATTTAAAACTCGCGAATATGAATCCTATCTTAATAGCTAATTATCAAGGGTAGTTCAGAATTCATCATAGAACCTTCAGAATTCACATAGTATTACCGTTACTTAGACTAGAGAAAGATTTTCAAATTGTCCTTACATTCAGAATTGCTGGAGGCTAGTTTAGAGAGTCATTGGGACACAGCATGTACTTATTTTGTGGGCCTCGTGTTGTTCGATCTGTAGTGGCTGGTCCTGTGTCGGGTCCACATAATTTATTCTAGCTTCTGGACAGACCAACTTATCCATTCTCCCCAAGCCACATTTTGACCTCGTTATTTATTCTCTTGTCGACCTTGACTGTGCATTGCCTATCTTACTCATCACATGTCTGTAGCTTGTTTTTATCTGACTCTAAATATCGATCCACTCTTGGTTAAATCGAGTTGGCTCACTTGACTTCTCCAATCTGCTTCGCTGTTCCTTCTTTGTTTCGTCTTCCTGATTGCCTGTTCAAATCAATGAGTGCAGATTCACGTAGCAGAGTTAATGTTATAACTTGTGACCGCCGATTAGTGGGCAGTGACTTATCGATCGGATCAATGACGCATAAACCCATATGAGCAGCCTAGAGTTCTGATTGGTCCTGTTTTCCGCCTAGCTCAACCAGTTAAGTCCAGAACACCAATCCGAGCCTCTGTGAAATGAATCACTATATTTCAAACATACTGAGTTTATATAACAATTAAACAGACCACAAAGTACCAATAAAATATGAAACATTTGTACAAGAATTAGTCAGATGTGGCTGTGAATGAGGGAGGTAGTAATTAATATACTGAGTATAACTCAAGAATGGTAAAACGTATAATAATAGTTCATGGGTCAAAATAAAGCTCGTAATAAGATGAATATGCACAGTTTAGTTACTTAATAATTATACAATAGAAATATACGTTTAGTATTGGTCCATAAATGGATCCAAAAAGTTACCATTCATTGTTCTTGTCGGGACATAACAGTTAAGTCGTAACATGTATTATAAAATAAGATATATACCACGCACAAATTCTTTACTACAATTATGTGCGTATAGTTTGACGAAAATGGAAAGTGAATCTGCATAGTGTATTTTGTATTTAAGTCATAGGAATAGCACATAAAAGGGAACATATTTGGATAGAAACTAAATGAATCGCGAAGTAGTTTAGAAAAATAAGAATATAAATAGGGTGTGCATTTAGTTCACTGGGATAGGTTTAAACTCCTATCACACTTGGTGTTAAGCCTTTGATTTCTATCATCCCAATGAACCTACCAATTAAATATATATCTCCTTACCAGTCAAATAAACAGTTAGCAACTTTGTCAAATGATGCCTCATCTCACCATTAGATGTTTTCTATCCTGATTCCATTCCAGCTAGCCAACCACGTCAGGATAGTCTGCAACTTGTTGAGTTCAATGTATCACCAGTTTACTTCAGTTTATGTAGATCTAAAACCTTCATTGTCTAATTTACTCTTCTTCAGTATCATTTTTCCGATGTCCAGTCATAAGCGAGAATTCATTCAGAAACATATCAAGTGTCGTTACTCTAATAACGTTTTCAAGACCTAACTATTTGCTTCATAGTCACAAAACAACGGTTCAGATATTAGGTAATTCATCTTTCATACTATGAAAGCTACTCTTAATTCGAGTTTAAATCACATAGTCTTTGTAATAATAACAGGTAATTCTCCTAGAATCCATCAAGTCATGTATTCAAAGTTTTCTAGTGTTATACATCTTTAAATTCTATATATTAAAGTCGTGGAGTAATCCATAATAATTCATTGCTCATTATACGAACGTTTCTAACACTTGAACATTGCTCTTGAAAAATCTTTCCTTTAGTTGGCTAAGTTTCGTTAGTCTACTGATATTAGTTTCTAGTCATATAATCTAGGAGTCTTTTCTTGATATTTTCATCTAAAAAAAATTATACGGTTTGTGCATTATAAGTAGGTATCACGATTTCTGGTTAAAATATCAGTTTCTGAGAAATTATTAGTTACATTTCTGTTTTAGTACGATTTGAGTATCGATAATAAGAAATGGTGTACTTCTGACGAAGAAATTTTGGCTACTTCCTTTCAGACAACAATCTTTTTCGAAACTTGTTATGTAATATTCGTATACGGTAGGTATACTTAGTGAACTATGAAAAATAAGTTATCTGTGTAATATATACATAAACCTTAACAATATTTTGTAACAGCCATTATTGTTAGTTAAACAAAATGAAGTCGAATATCAACTAAGTATATACCTATTGTTTGATTAGCCCAAATTCTCTACCGCATTATCGATCATAAAATTTAATGTTCCAGAAATAAATTATGTAAGAAACTACATTATTCGCTTGTTATTTTCTTTTGTTTTATTACTGCTGTTTTCTTTTTTAGTTGTATACTTTTTGTCACATTGATTGATCTACTTTCATTGATATTTTATTCGTATTCCAGACTAAACTATGATCTGATTACTGTTTAAAAACATGTACTGTATTAATGAATCATATATTTTAGCCTTGATTTCCTTCTGTTT